GCGAGAGATTTTCGATCTGTAATGGACCATTTTACCCTTTGTTGTGCCACTGTTCAGAGCTTGTAAAGTCTGTTTGTAATTTGCATTGTCTATGAAGTGTTTTTCGGAGATGTTTGCTTGTGGATCCCGATTGAGGCGTTCTCTCTAACCCGTTCTCTCTTTTGGTGGTCCTAAGGGATAATGGGAGGCTTCGGGGAGGCTGACCTTTGCGGACGGACACGCAAGGGTGCCGCACAACTTAGGCAAAACCAGCTAAGTCCGTGACAGGGCGGTACAGTTCGGTACGACAGACCCTGGTTTTTGGTGACTTATGTTCACCTTCGAGTGATTCAATTGAGTGTCAATGAAGATGTTTGGTCATTGGAATAATTCTATCTAACTCAACCGCTTACTTGTGAATCTGTCTGGTCTTGATTTGAGCACATGTGAATATACATAAGTATTTGAATCCAAGTGCATATTGGAATGTTCTTTGGTGTATTGCTTGAGCACATACTACATGTATAGAAGTATTTGAATCAGAGTGCATTTTAATGTTCTTTTGGTGTATTGCTTGAGCACATACTACATGTATAGAAGTATTTGAATCAGAGTGCATTTTAATGTTCTTTATGTGTATTGCTCATCTCAACCATTTTTGTAGATAACGTGGGCATCCATGTACCTCCTTCAATGGCCATTTACCAATTACTTGGGTAATAAGTGGGTACTTGAATCAAGTCTTATGGAGATTTCAAAAATGATATGGTATCTACAAACAGACTTTTAGCTATAGGAGTGAAAAATGGTTTAGTTAAAACAAAACTACTTTCACCAAATTAATGAATAATAATAAGCTCCAAAAACCCAAAATCATATGGCGTGTACATCAGCATCTAATGCATGTCTGGATGGGCCTTTCCTAATGTCTAATTTAACATGATGTCAAGATAATCCTAGGTCAGGTTGACTCTAACATTTGCACAAACGACCACAGAAGCTAAAATTTCAATACCTTTTACATGAAATTTTGATTGAAAAATAAAAATAAGTAACGAAAATATGAAGCAAATAAAAAGTTTTTTTTCTTCAGGATAATCTCACTCTAATTAAATATAAGAAACCAAAAAAAGGGAAGAAAAAAAATTAACTGTTAGATTTGATATATAATCGAGTGAAACCTTAAATGCGTAATTGCAGAAACGATCACGTTCTTCATAAACAATTGAACACTGAATTTCTTTTTCTTTTATTTTTCACTAATTCACTCCATATATATATATTACACTATAAAACATGTGCACTAAAGGCCGTGAAATTCAGAATCCACTTCTTGACTTCATGCACAACACTTTATCTCCCAAGGTGCCTCCTTGGAGACAATATTGGGCTTCTTGTTGTTATTGCTGAGTTAAACTACAAATGTTAAATTGATCATGAAAAAGATTCCTATTTTATTGAGCTTTGAGGAAAAATGGATGAGAGGAAGAAGGTTTAGAAGGGGGAGCTCTTTGCAATTCTTCTAATAATGACTTTGTTAATTGAAAAAGGGAAAGCTGGACGAAGACCGATGTTTCAACAAACCCAACTGAAAGCAAGGGCAAGCACAAGCTTTGGCATGTAATTTTGCTTAGGCCTCACTGAATACTCACCAAATTTCCCAATCAAAACTTATAACCACTGTATGTATTGTACAATTTTCATGTGTATAAGAACAAAATAATAAATGATAAATGGGTTGCGATGGAAGTTTACTTCACATAGCTAGGTTGAGGATTAACAGCTTATAAGTTGTTTGATGCTCATTACACTATCCCTATATTGCATGATATCAAATGAATTGTTCTTTGATACACTAGTAAGAACAGATTGGAGCCAAATTTACTTAAGGTCCATCATTGTGAAGGGCTGTAGGCCGTATCCAAGACTACTTTATGCATCTCATGTATTATATTGGTTACTACCAATAAAGATTCCACAAATACCCGAATGATGATAGTTATGCAGATGTTCATGGCACATATAAGTGAGGGCAACATATGCAAATGAACAAGAACTGAGGCTACTTCAAATTGCATCATAAATAAACTAATATTACCATTATGTGTTAACTCAGTTTTGGTATTGTGAGTTTGTGACCACATTGTATTGTAGAAAAGGGGGAGAATAAATAATGCACGAGAACAAACACTTCATAACTCCAATATTACCTTTCTAGGCTTGACAGGTATATTTGGCAAAAGATTTGGTTGCACAATGAGGCTTTGCATTAAGGGCCCAGACCAGGCACCTGCAGCAATCACAACAGCTCTTTTAGCATACAAGTTGTTCTTGGATGTTTGAACACCTTCAACCGTTTGTGTGCATGAAGACCTGCAAGGTTTTAGGATTAAGAAAAGTATACCAGCTCTTGTACAAAGGAATTAGATTGTAGAACAATAGTATCTGATCCTTATAAAAGGAAAATGTCCACCTCAGCAAAGAAAGAGCAGGGTCATTATAGAACTCAGCATATCTGCCTTGTGAATTGAACTGCTTATTACCCTAGAAAATAATGCAAAACATCAACAACTAAGGATGAATGACATATTGGTAAAAAAAAAAGCATGAATGACATAGATCATTATCGGATAAAGCACATATGGGATAAAAGTTAGCAACTGAAGATGCATGACTAAATGATAAGAAATAAAAGTAACCTCTTCAATGAATGCAACAGTCTGAGAGGCATCCAACTGGCAGTCATCTGGTACAAGAGCAGCTCCTCCTTCCTTTCCAATTTCCAATGCTGGTTCCTCCAAATGCAAAGAAGATGCAGGCAAGTATTCTGCTTGCAACCCTGCCTGATTTAGGAGCTTGACCCTTTCTTCCAACATGTATGACTCCTCCAAAGTTCTACCAACTAACAAACTTCCTAAAAATCGACACATGGAAAATATTTACATGTTTCTTATATGAGTTTCTGATGATCAGTTCATTCTAATTACAAAAATAAAAAAGATGATTATCAACACTACAGTCTGCAACCGAATGTCTGACAAAAATTGAAGTCAAAAGAATGAAATTTAGGTTTTCTTATATGATGCTCAATTGCATAAAGAACTCAGGACAGTAATGTCCAGAAAATATGAGTTTAGAACTTACAACCAAGCAAAGAACAGGAAAATAAAACCAGATATTCCCTCCTGTGATTCATTAGACAGCCAATTTTAACAGCTCTATGCCCATTCTGATATTTTGCTGACATATGTATGCTTTTCAATCATCTTAATGGCGGATTCCAGTGTGAAAACATGACAAAGGATGTTAGTATCAATAAATAAATGCTAGATGGTCAGTGGTGTTTTCCCTGTTGGTCTTTTTCTTTCCTTTAGTCATCTTGGTGACGACACATTTTAGATTAGAGCAGGTTCATCAATGTAAAGACAGTTGATGTGTTCTTTTAATTCTAAACATTGTACCTCAACAGAATGATTTTAGCTCAGCTATCAGCACTATCATAAGTTGGAACCTAGACAATTATCTTGATTAACGAGAAAGCCTCCAAAATATTGTTATAGTTGATGGTTCTGATGTTCCATATAGAGATGCATCGTCCGTCTACTATGATCAATTCCATGTCGAGATTTCACAAAAAGTGTAGAGCCCCACCAAGGCCGTCCTACCCATCCACCATCCATCTCTACACACATTGATATACTACAGATGTATGCGTAGAGCGGTAAACAGACAAACATAATTATGTACACCTGAGTTACTCTGATGTATATATATTTTTTGTAAAATATAGTTTTGTGCCAATGCATGTTTATGAAGCTAGTGGAGTCACATTTAGTGTTGCAAGAAAATGTACCCACTCGAGCCAATGTATCATCTATCATCATGACTAAACACTTCCTCCCATTGTCTACTTCAATAGCAAGAAGCAACTCTAGCCCCTCACTAATCAATATTGGAAATTTTGCCTACATAATCAGCTTCCATTTATAAAAATGATCCAAATTTTCATTTTTTTCCAAAGAAAGAAGAAACCATATTACTTAAAAAGTCTCTTACAAGAAACTCCATTTTTTTCGGAGCACAAAATAGATCATAGTTTTGGAGGCCAGTACTGTCTCCAGATAGCAGAATTTTTAGGAGATATAGCCTGATTAGCTAACCAATGGACACTATCATTACCCTCCCACTATACATGAGTGAATTTATAATCAATGAACCTAGTAATACTCCTATAATAATTCAAAACATTCCATGGAGGAGTTTCCTCCTTGTTCAAAATCTTAACCATGAGCTGAGCATCAGATTCAATTATTAGCTTTGAGATACCCAGATTAATAGCATGCTCAATTCTAGCCCCTCACTAATCAATATTGGAAAATCTGCATACATAGTCAGCTTCCATTTATAAAAATGACCCAAATTTTCATTTTTTTCCAAAAAACGAAGAAACTATATTACTTTAAAAGTCTCTTACAAAAAACTCCATTTTTTTCAGAGTACAAAATAGATCATAGTTTTGGAGGCCAGTACTGTCTCCAGATAGCAGAATTTTTATAAGATCTAATCTGATTAGCTAACCAATGGACACTATCATTCCCCTCCCACTATACATGAGTGAATTTATAATCAATGAACCGAGTAATACTCCTATAATAATTCAAAACATTCAATGGAGGAGTTTCCTCGTTCAAAATCTTAATCACGAGCTCAGCATCAGATTCAATTATTAGCTTTGAGATCCCCAGATTAATAGCATGCTCAATTCCAGCATCAAAATTTCATTTTAATTATCTCTGTAACAATCCATGTAAACTTGCAGATTTGAAACTCAGGTAAAGCAAGAATTATACTTTGAATGTGACCAGTATAACGGCTCAACAACACCTACATTTTTTCACCCTAACACAAATAACCATAATCCAAAGATTGCATCACAAAAATCAGCACAAGATACAAAATTTAAGAGCGAGATACCTGTCTTCTTCCAGCCCAGTACTTCTGCTGGGTCCTTACCCTGGTCTCGTATACTCTCTGCCAACTCCTCCCACAACTGCTTGCTTCTCGCAGCCAGCTCCCAAGTCTCACTACCCGGCGTCTTGTGCGCCATCCAAATGTACCCCTGCCCTGGCGCCACCACAAACAAACAAATCAAGCACATTTGCCATCCATGAATACATCGACATAAGTATCGCCCAAAAAAGGTACAGCATACTCACCGGCTCCGGTGGCACCGGAACAGGGGACGGCGGCATCGACCACGGCGACAGAGAGGTCGGAGGAGAGCAGGAGCTGGCGTGCGACGGCCAGCCCGATGATCCCGGCGCCGACGACAACAACGTCGTGCTCGGACCTTGGATTCGCGACGGCGGCGACGGGTCGGTGCCGCCCGGCTCTAAGGCGGGGGCGATTTCGCCACTGATCGAAGGTGACGCGGGACACTGTGAAGGATCCGCGGGGGGAGGAGGAGGGGAGGGTTCGGATGTTCAAGTTAGGGTTTGGTAACGGGCGGGCGACGGATTCCATACTGGCCTCGATCCTGTTTCGTGAGGGAATCGCGACGGAGGGAAGTGGGCTGACCGAAGTTTATAGAATCGGCAGAAGGGTGAGGATCCGCTGCAATGCCGCTTTTAGTTCGACGCCTTTGGTGTTGACATCTCCACGGTTCAGCGATCATCGTTGGATCCGAACAATGATCGGAGGGAGAGGATCCCCTCCTGAAGGAGCAACCACGAGTTGCAACACCTGGGGACGACGACGGGGTTTGATGATGATGATGATCTGTCTTGTCACTTAAGAGCACATCTATATATGGCCTCCGTATACTTGGTGACAGAAGCGGATAGAAATCAAAGCATTGACTGACCAAACAATCCACTAATCTGATTGGTTTTATTATGTCCAAGAGATTGGAGGAACCGCTGATAAACTTTACGGGGCGATTTTTCGAAAAAAGTCCTTTTTCTTTTGAGATTTATCGAAAGATGACTCACATTTTCACATTTTCCTAATGTCGTCGAATCTATTCTTGATAAGAACACCCAGTCACATGCCCCCCCGTT